ATAAATAAACATTTATTACAGAGTCAATTTTATAATAATTGATTGGCTCTAGGACACCTACTCTAACAACTGCCAGAGCATTTGCAATCGGTGATGTACACTCTACTCGTATGCCAGCTTGCCAAGGCCTTCGAGAAGTTCGTGGCCTTGTGACCAGTTGACCTGGTGACTACCGCGCTCCAACTACACAGTTAGGTAAAACGGTCTGTTGAACCTCCTTAGCTTTTATGATTTTGAGAAAAGGAAGCTGACTTTTGTCTCTTTTCCTATGCAATCCCAGCTTGCCCTGACTGTGGCCCGGTAGAAGATCGACATGGACTTTGCTGGCAATCTCCATGAACTGAATGAGGAGAATGCCAAGCTAAAGCAGGACCTCGCGACCATGGATGCGGAGGCCAAAGCGGCTCGCACCCAAGTGGATCAGTACTTGACAGAGAGAGATTTTGCACTTCAGGCTACAGACTTTTAGAAGGTCTAGCTTGAGAAGAAGGACGGGGACAACAAGGAGCTCTAACGGATGGTGGAAAGACTCACCAAGTAGTTGAGTGAGCGATAAAAAGAGCTGAGGGTGATTGCCGATCGCATGAAGGCGACGGAAGAGAGTCAGACTCAGCTATGAGAGAACTCTGAGAGGCAGAAGAGGGCGATAAAAGCAGACCTCAAGCTATCTCAAGGGCAAGTTGCTTCACTAACCGAACAGATGAAGCGACAAAACCTCAAGCTTGAGAGGTCGGCTGCTCATTGGGTAATACAAGCCATTTACAACTTGCAATCAAGGAACCTAGAGATGGACATCTCTAACCTTCCAGACAAATACCAGTCCATCCTTGTCTCTATGCTTGAGGCTGAAGAGGCCGAGCAGTGGGAACAGCAGGAACCTCCCCCAGAAGATGATCAGCCGAACATCCCCGAAGATCAGGTAGATAATCCGGAGGTCGACGATCGTCTAGAGGATCGGAGGTCACGCCCGACGGGCCTGGAAATGAAGACAACCGATTGTCCCTTTTTTGTCTGTCATTATAGTTCTCCCAGCTTTTTATCTTTTAGTAACTCTTGGTCGCTTTCTTGTACATATTCTTTTCTTTTTATAATACGTAAAAAGAACTCTTGGTTACTTGCGATAGCACTTTTATAAGTTAAGCACTTCGCAGGACAAATATGACTTTTTTGACTACTGAACTAGCAAAATGTTATAAAGAACAAGATCATTAACAAAAGACTTGAGATAATGACATAAGTTTTTCTTCGAGAAGAAGCAGAACAATCTTATTCATAATACTTAGAAGGAAAATTTTACAAGTTAAGAAGAAAAAATCAAAGCTACAAGCGAGTTTGGAATTACTGATAATAATGGCGAAGATGTTCAGCATTCCAAGCTCGCGGTACTTCAGAACCAGTTAACCTTTTGAGGTGATACATCCCAGGTCGTATTACCTTTGCGATGCGGTATGGACCCTCCCAGTTGGGTCCTAATGCCCTTGTGCTCGATTCCCTTGTACCGAGGACTTCCTTTAGAACCAGGTTGCCAACCTGAAAGTCTCTTCTCCTAACCTTAGAGTCGAAGAATCTTTTTTTCCCGCTGCTGGTAAGAAGCTATCCTTAATCAAGCTTTGTCGCGATGTTCTTTAACCAAGTCCAGACTAGCACGCAAGAGTGCTTCATTGTTTGCCTCGTTAAAAAATTCTCTCCGACGTGAGCCAATTTCTACTTCCACTAGAATCGTCGCCTCGCAGCCATATGTCAGCGAGAAGGGCGTTTCTGAAGTAAAGGTTCTCAGAGTTGTCATATATGCCCATAAGACCTCTAGGAGGTCATTGACCCAATTGCCTTTGGCTGCGCCAAGCTTGGCCTTCAATGTGTGCTTAATAGTCTTGTTGACAGGTTTAACCTGACCATTGGCTTGCGGCCTTGCTACTGAGGCAAACATTTTATGAATCCCCAGTTCGTTGTAAAACTGCTTGAATTCCTCATTGTCGAATTGCTTTCCATTATCATAGATGAGTGTATAAGAAATCCCGTAGCGACACACTATGTTTTTGAAGACGAAGTCTTTGAGTTTTTTTGGTAATGATCGCGACCAAAGGCTCAGCTTCAACCCACTTAGTGAAATAATCCATTGTGATCACTGTGTACTTAACACCCCATTTACCGGTTGGCATGGGCCCAATGAGATCAATTCTCCTGATAGAAAATGGCCAAGGACTGGTTATTGTCGTCAGCTGGTGGGAAGGAGCTTGTGGAATATTTGTGAATCTCTGACACTTATCACACTTCTTCGCAAAGTTGAAGGCGTCCTTGTGAAGTAGGGGCTAGTAATATCCTTGACGGATAATCTTATTGGTGAGAGATTATGTGGCAGTGTGATTATCGTAGATTCCCTCATGTATCTCTCTCATAATGTAGTCTGCTTCATCATCGGTTACACATTGGAGGAGGGGAGTGCTAAACCCTTGCTTGTACAGCTGGTTCCCAATTAGTGTGTGACGAGCAGCTCTAGTTCATAGGATTTTTGCCTTAGCTTTATCGCTGGGCAGGGTCCCATCTCGAAGATACTGAATAATTGGAGTCATCTAAGAAGCAGATTCCGTCATAGCTACGACTTGCTCAGGTGAGTTGATGATGGGAATTTTGATGTGCCGAACGAGGGTGTTGTCCAGGACGTCAGAGTCCAGTGAGGAGACTATCTTTGCCAAAGCATCTGGGACAGAGTTATTATCTCTTGGGATTTGACTGATCATATAATGCTTGAAAGACTCAAGTGTGGCCTTAGCTTTCCTCAAATAATTGATCATGTTCTCTTCTTTGGCTTGATATTCTCCTAGGATCTGATTAACAACCAGCTGGGAGTCGCTATAGATGTCAATTATTTTCGACCCTATTTCTCTTGCGTCGTAGACCAACAAGTAGTGTTTCACATTCAATCTCGTTATTCATAGCTCTGAATCCAAACTTGAGGATCCTGTGAATCCGAGTCCCTTTGGGACTAAGGAGTAGAAGACTAGCTCCGGCTCTTCTTCTGTTCGAGGACCCATCAATATAGAGGCTCCAAGTTGTTAAGTTGGCTGTTGGAGTTCCCGATCTGGCTGATAAGAGAACTCCAAAATAAAATCAGCAATAGCCTACCCTTTGACTGCTGTCTTCGGTCTATAATGCAGATCGAATTGGCTTAGTTCCATAGCCCATTTAAGCAACTTACCCGAAGCTTCTGGCTTCTGAAGAACTTGCTTGAGTGGGTAGTTGGTCAAAACATGGATGGTATGAGCATGGAAATAAGGTCGCAATCTCCTAGAAGCAATTAGCAGGACATAGGCTAATCGTTCCATTTCTGGATATTGTGTTTCGGCATCTAGTAGTCACTTGCTCATGTAATACACTGGCCACTAAACTCTGCCTTCTTCCCGGATGAGGGCTGCGCTGACTGCATATTGAGAGACAGACATGTAGATGAATAAGATTTCCTTGGGAAGAGGCTTGGATAGGAGATTTGGCTTTCTGAGATGTTCTTTTATGCTTTGGAAAGCTCGCTCACATTCTGGAGTCCATTCAAATCTCTTGTTGGCCCTTAGTGTATTGAAGAACGGCAAGCAACGATCTACTGCTCTCGATATGAAGCGATTGAGGGCCGCTATCGTTTTATTTAAGCTCTGAACTTGCTTCCTATTCGTGGGACTTTCATATCAAGGAGAGCTCGGATCTTTTCGGGGTTGATCTCGATCCCCTGGTGGTTAACCATATACCCTAGGAATTTTCCCGATGATACCCTGAATGAACACTTTAGAGGATTAAGCTTCATTCTGTACCTTCAGAGTACGTTGAACATCTCGACAAGATGTGTTATGTGATCTGAAGCGACATGCGACTTAACCAGCATGTTGTCGACATTGACTTCCATGGATTTCCCGATCTGCTCGAAAAACATACGATTAACCAAACGTTGGTAAGTTGCCCCCGCGTTCTTCAGACCGAAGGGCATGACCTTATAACAATACAGTCCCCGATCTGGATGAACGAGGTATGCTTCTCTTCAGGCTCATACATCAGGATTTGGTTATACCCTGAGTAGGCATCCATGAAGTTTAACAGCTCGTGCCCAGAGGTGGCGTCGACGAACTGATCGATCTTGGGCAAAGGGAAACTGTCCTTTGGACAGGATTTGTTGAGATCAGAGAAATCAACACAAGTTCGCCACTTACCGTTGGGTTTTTTCACCAACACCGGATTGGCAACCCAACTCGGGTAATGGGCTTCTCGAACGAACCCATTTGAGAAGAGCTTATCCACCTCAACTTTAAGAGCAGCGTAGTGCTCCGGGTCTATGGCTCTTCTCTTCTGGTGAACTGGCTTGATTGTGCTGTCGATGTTGAGTGCATGACATATAATGTTCGGGTTAATCCCAACCATATCAGCATGAGTCAATGCAAAAACTTCGATATTATATTTGAAGAAGCTCGTTAAATCTGCAGCGAGCTGAGGGTTGAGATTACTCTCGATCCTTAACACTCGCATCTAAGGTTCTGAAAACCGGACTGGGAGCCGACCTGGTCAAATGGCTGGTTCCCGGTTCGAACGGTTTGACCGATCTGACCGACCGGTTGAACCAGTGACGTCAGCATGCTGACGTCAGCATGATGTCATGCTGAAATAAGCAAAAACGTAAAAAAGCCAAAAAATTCAGATTCTCCATCTAATTAAAGTTTAAAAACCATCAAAAGCAACCCTACAACAATAATTTCTCCATCTAATTAAAGTTTAAAAACCATCAAACCAACCTTACAACAATAATTTCTCCATCTAATTAAAGTTTAAAAACCATCAAACCAACGCTAGGCTACAACAATAATAAAACCATCAAAGTTTGATAGTTAAAGTTTACAAATTCAATCCTCAAGTCTAAAGTCTAAACTCTAAAGTTTCAAACAACATTAAAGTCATTACAAAGTAATATCAATTATCAAATATGAATCCACCAACGGCTAATCATCAAAATTACAAAATATCAAAATACCTACCAATCCACCAACCAACATATAAAATTACACAATATCAATCCATTCCACCAACCCAACCACAAACAAATTCAATAGAAGCTCACGGTAAGTGAAGGGAAAAAGGAGAAACCAAACAGATTCTTCAACGGGTCAACCCATCCTAAATTGATTATCCACATCATCATCCGAGTCATCATCATTATCATCACCATCAACTACAAATTTAGCAAAAATTAAAAACATAAGTTAAAATTTATAATGTACATTATTTTTTGATATTATAAAATATAAATTATAATAGTTACCAAGTTGGTTAAAAGTTAGAAAACAACCTTGTGAACCACCTGCTGAATCATAATAGGGTTGGCCATCAACACCGACAGGAATAGATCCTTCTTCGTAAAGTGCTTGCTCCAATTCATCTAAATTGAAGTCATCACCCTCCTGTTCATCATCAGCAATCCAAAATTCTGTTCTATCAATGCTTTCATAATCGATAGGATCACAACTGCTTTTCTTGTAACACATCCTGAAAGACATGCCAAATAAAAATATCACTAAAAATATGAGATAATAAAAATATTAAAATTGCCAATGCTTTATACCTATTTTTCAAACGCAAGTTATAATGGATAAAAACCAAATCATTCAACCGTTGATGCTCCAATCTATTCCTTCTTTTTGTATGGATACGTTCGAAAACACTCCAATTTCGCTCACATCCCGAAGAGGTTGAAGTTTGGCTCAGAATCTTAATTGCAAACTCTTGTAACTGTGGAGTACTATACCCATATGTCCTCCACCATTCATCTAATTAAAAGTTAAGAGTGTTCAGTGTTAACCATATGAAATAATCAAATAAACAAATTCATAACTTAGAAATTGGACTTAAAATTGAGAAATTTAATAAGTATTACATACCAGGTCGTGTGGTTCTGCAAGTTTGAAAGGCAAGCTCACGAGAAAAGCTTTCCTCGCGATCTCGATATATTCTACTTTCGTCCACTACCCTTGTCTTGTTCAACTTGAATGCACTTGCTTTATTATCGACAACATCAAGGAAACCACGCAAACCACGCATAACCTCTGGTTTCCTGCAGAAACTTGCACGGTCATACTGAAAAACCGGATTCAAATAATAAGCAGCAGCATGAATGTCGCGACGCAAAAGCAAATCCCACCGCTGCTTAATAATTTCGGTATAAGGCTTGTACAATGTCTTTCTCTTTCTAAAGAACTTCTTGATCGCTTTTTTGGCTTTGTACATGCCATCATACATGTATCCTATTGCAGGTCTCTCATCTGAGTCCACAATTCGCAACAAACGCATCAAAGGAGCCACAATTTTGGAAACGTAACCCATGTTATCCCAAAATTCATTATCTAGAATTATGGGAACAACATTCTTGCCTTTACTACTTCTGGCATATCGAGAGTCCACAAAAAACCTATCAGTCACCATAGCTTGCAAGTCATGTTTATGCTCATGTAGACTTCTTAATGCAATGAAAGTAGTAGCAAACCGAGTTGCACCCGGTCGTATGATTTCTCTCCAACCCTGTTCAAATGATACATACAATACATAATAGATGTTAGTAAATTATTACAAAATGTTTATTAATAAATTGACAAAAACATGAGTTAAAGGTTTATAAGCTATTACCTCTCTTTTCCTCAACCAAGCTATCAAAATTGTGTGATTATACACAAACTTGGTTACTTCAAAAGCATATGTTGCAAGATGCACTATGTGGTCCAACTCAGATATATCTTTCAAAATTAAATTTAAGCAATGGGCTGCATAGAGTGACCAAGTAATATTCTCATACTTCTCAGACAACATTCTTCCAGCAGCTTTATAATTTGTTCCATTATCCGTGACAACATGGACAATATTGTTTGGTCTAACCCATAAAGTCATTTTCTCAAAAAACTTGAATAATGTAAAGGTATCCTTTACAACATCTGAAGCATCCACTGATTTTATAAAGCAAACACCTTTAGGACAGTACACAACAAAATTAATCAATGATCTATGGCAAGTATCAGTCCAACCATCAGCCATTAATGTACATCCAACCTCTTGCCAAATCCTCTTATAATTGTCAACAATTAATTGGACTTCCTTCTTAGCATCTCTCAACAAATTCACACACATAGCATCATAAGTAGGTTGTTTATACCCAGGGCCAATTGCAGCTACAGCATCCAACATAGGCTGAAAATAAATTGAATTTAAAGCATTCATCGGGATGCAAACATCATAAAAGAATCGTGCAACAGATATGTCTGCTCTCCACTTTGCATCTTTTCCAGCCAAAACGCTCCTAATTGAAGGCTGAGACCCAGAAGTAGTTCGTGGAGCAAAATAATTACTAACCCACGTAGTTTTCTTTCTCTTACTGCTCGTAAATTGTTTTTTACCGCCACTACTACCACCTTTATTCATGGTCATTTGTGATGGTAAAACCTTTTCATTTTCTTCATCTAACTGATTACCCTCAAATTCATGTACTACAGCACCAAAAGGAGTTGCATGCTTCCGGAAATCTTCTTTTTCCTTATTTTTTACTCCTATTTTTTTCAGTGATTCATTCATATTGAATCTAACATCAAATGGAACCTTCGGACACTTTCCAATATCCCATTTTACTCCTGCTAGGTGTTGCTTAATTCTGAAAATACCACTACCTCTAGTAACCTTGCCACAATGAAGACAAGATAATATTTTATTTCCATCTTTATCAACACTCTCAAGAACATGTCCCCATGCTATATCGGTCTTTCCTCAAAAAGATTGTGAGGAAATGGATGCGGCTAATGAGTTATGTGCAGACGAAGATGATGACATTCTCTCCCCTGGCAAGTGGCAACCAACAATCAATTTGTTATAATTTATAAAATATAACTTTAAATCAATTTGTTTTTCAGTGAAGAACATTTCATGCTACTCAATGGAAGAACCAAGCAAATTGATAAGTCAAAACCATCTTTTCGACTTATCAAAAAAAAAAAAAAAAAAAAAAAGAAACCATCTTTTCGTGCAAGTTTCAGCATTTGGTTAACTAGGACTCTCATTTTTTATTTTTTATCTCTTCATTTTTCAAGTCCATGTAGTTGTCGAACATTCAAAAAATTTGCCCCAGATAGGGCATCACGTGTAAAGAACATTGACTCTATATGCATAAAATAAAATTTTATTATTTTCAAAACACATGAATGACATTCTATTGACTACCAGTACCACTTTCTCATATCCTATACACATCTTTCCGGCTAATGTTATTTTATATTACAACTTAATTTCTACTTTATTAAACATCCCTAACTTTGATCATGAAGTATCCCTTTGAAGCAAATAAACATATATACAAGATCCTAATAGAATGAACCAATACAAAATCTAAATTTCGTTTTGACAATTTAAGGGTTGCGTTTAATCATATGACTTCTTTTAAGTAGTAAACTTGATAGAATCTGTAAGCGTTCATAAATCTGTACATAAAGCATAGAAGACGGAAAAAGATAGGAATCTGTAGATTGTTACTTGGTCACGGCAAATGGCAGCTCGTAGATGGTGGCAGATGGCGGTAGACGGTAGCAGATGTGAAGGCTGAAGCTGAAATCTGAGCTGAAATGACTTATCGACAGATCAGCAATGGCGATGGTGATGATTGAAGAGTTCACGTTGAAGACTAGAAGACTAGAAGTTGAAGAATGAAGCGCTGAAGCAGAGTAGAGCAGACTGCAGACCGAAGACTTGAAGACTAAAGAGTGAAGACGTGAGGCTGAATCGCTGAAGCTTAGCTGAAAGCTTGAAGGAGATCTGACTTCTGAGATCGCGAATGGAGGACACGAAGAGGAGGACTAGACTGGAGAGTGGAGGAGATCGTGAATGGCAGTAGCAAACCAAGATGAAAAAGTGAAAAATTGAAGAAGGGGAGACGGCTCTGTATCTGTATTCTGTAGCTCAAAAGCAAATTAAAAATGTGTTTTTTAATAAAAATTTTGAGGGTTTGGTTTGAATTTGACACTTTGACTTTTATGTGTGCGCATGTGGTTGCTTTTAATTTTTAATTTTTTTTTATTTCATATGTTAAACCGGAAATGTGTGGACCGAAAATCTGTTAAATACCAGTTGGACCGTCAGTTTGCTACAGTACGACGGTCCAACTGCGGTTTGAGGGTAAATCCCGGTTATTTACTCTCTTCAAATCGAAAATGCAAGCGGGTGACGGTCGGACCGGTTCGATCGCCCGGTCCGGTCTGGGTTTCAGAACCTTGCTTGCGTCAACTCATTCTGGTTGACAGATACCTCCGACAGAGACTCAACCGGCCCATTATGGGAATACTCCTCTTAGACACAAGGATCTATGTAATCTTCCACTGGACTTGGTTATGGCTCGATCCTGCTAATCGCCATTGCCTACTCGAGAATGCCCACCAGCTTCCCCTTCTTTTAGCACGCCATCTGTACTGCCCTTACATAGCTGTCGTGAGATTCGCGCTGAGACACTTTCATTTCTCCGTACCCCGTCGGTGTGGGAAACTTCATCTTCAGATAATAGATGGAGGTGACGGCCTTGAAGCTTCGTAGTAGAGGTCGTCCCAGAATGCCATTAAAGGCAGATATACAGTCTACTACCAAGAACTCCGTCATCTTGGTCACTTCGTTGGTCTCACCCAAAGTGACAGGAAGTGCGATTGTTCCCCTAGGAATCAGATGATCCCTAGTAAAACCGTAAAGAGGGATAGAGGCAGGCTTCAGATCTGCCCGTCCAATTGCATTTTTTTGAAAGCTTGTCGAAATAGGAAATTCACAACACTGCCATTGTCCACCAGCATTCTGTGGACTTCGCACCGACCTATTTCAAGCGTGATGACGAGTGCATCCTCATGGGGATGATGCAATTGCACCGCGTCTTTCTCTGAGAAGGTAATCTGTTATTCCCTGCGAACCTTAGAGGGTCGCGACGCCGTGCTCATCACACTCACAAGGTCATGATGAGCTTTTTGAGTGTACCTCTCCTGGGCACCTCGAGAATCCCCCACGAGGTGTGGTCCTCCAAAGATGTTCTATACACAGTAGAGACCCTTACGACCACGATGCTTCTTCCCCTGTTCCTCTTAATCCTTCTCTCAAACGGGAGTTAGACCATCAACATACTTCTTGAAGTGCCCCTACTTAATGAGGTCTTCAATTACTTGCTTGAGAGCTCGACACTCATCGGTGTGGTGGCCATTATCCCGATGATAGAGGCAATATTTCTTGCTGTTTCTCGCTAAAGAGGGATTGCTCATGGGTGCCGGCTCTTTGAGTAGGTTGGTTTCTTCTGACTTATCTAGAATAGCCGATACTGACGCGTTCAAAGGAGTATACTGATTCTTGTTGCGATTGCGACGAGGAACTTGGGCATAGGATTTCTTGGGCTCAAACCGCAACTTCTTTCCTTTCTGCTGATTGTCAATAGCCCATTTGCAATTAGGTCTTCTACTAACCTTCCCCTAGTCAAGAGCACTCTGGTCGAAGGACCGGGGTCGTGGCGATTGAGAGCGGCCACAGAATTCTCGATTTGGAGGTACTTCTCTGTGAAATCGTAGAAACGGGTGAGGGAAATGTCATCCTCGGATTGCAGCTTTTTCTACAGGTTGGTTTGCGGGCGAACTCCCATAATAATCAGAGTCTGAACAGACTCTTCAGGTGTATTAGCTACCTTGTGCAGTTCCCTATGGAACTTGTCAATGTAAGGCTAAAGGGATTTATTCTTCTCCTGCTGTATGTTGCTCAGATAGCTCAACAACATTGAGAACTTCCTATTTTCCTGGAAGTGTCTCAAGAATAATGAGCTCATTTGCTGCCACAAGTTATTAGATCCTGGTTGAAGCGATCTAAACCAGTGCTTGGCGTGGGCAGTCAGGGTCACTGCCAAACAATGACACTTAGCCAAGTTGGAAACTTGGTGAAGCTCCATGCGGTTGTTAAACTCATAGAGATGATCTTGCAGATCAGAATTCCCATTGAATGCTCGCATATTGGGCATTCTAAATCTTTATGGGAGAGGAGCAGCTAATGTTAGAGTA